GCCAAACGAAGGTATCCGTATTTTCATTTGAGATCAAACCGCAACCTAGAAGCGTCGATTGTCCGTGATGATTAACGCCAACAAACGGTGCAAAAGGCATGTCATATTTGTTGGTCAAGTAGGTTGTATCAAATGTGACGACGTCCCCGAACTCTTTATATGCTTCTCTACTTCGATTATCTGCCCAAAAAATATTCCGTAAACGGGAATCATCATCCAGATCCATGCAGAAGAAAAATCCAGCACACCTTGCTTGCATATCTGAAAAATATGATTGTATTGCTGCTGCGTCCCCCTCTCCAAGGCTTAACCGTCTAAATTTTTCGATATAGTTACGACAATCCTTCTCGACAAATGTCATATTATCGTATCCACCCGCTTCAACTACAGCAGAATTAAAGCTTTTATGCAATGGAATTCCGGCCACATCATTCACTTCAAGCCTTCGCTTTACCCTTGCACTCAATTCTCTATGGCATCGATATAATCTCGACTTAGTTGGACTGCATTTATGATTATGATCGAGGTAAACTGTGTTAATTCTCCAATAACCACGATCATCTAAAGATGCCGTGATTCGAGCTTTGCAGTCTGTCTGAGTTGTTGGTNTGCGACCTCAGTGAGCCCCTTGTGCCACTCATTCTTTTTCCTTCACGACTACATGTGAAAGTAACATATCGTAAAACGCCATCATCATCCTTTCTTGAATTTCTTTTTCTAACTGGAAAACCGACACTATAAGCATATTTTTTATAGAAATCAAAGACGTCGTCTATATCTTTGAATTCCATACCAGCCTCCGGAGTACCTTTATTCGTACTACAATCCGTATTAACATTTTCTTCCAGTGACGGTTCATTCTCACCTCCTTCCATTATGATAGATGAAGATGTCTCGTGGTCTTATATCAGTTGCAGATGGTTGCTCTGCGGTGTCTTCGGGCTTCCTGATGGATTACGAATTTTGGGTATTGATGGTTTAGATGTGAATTTTTTGGTTTTCCATTTCCATTACGAGAGATGAAAATGTATCGTGGTCGTATTTCAGTTGCAGATGGCTGCTCACAGTGTCTTCTGGCTTTCTGATAGATTAGGGATTTTGGGTATTGGCGGGTTTAGACGTGAATTCTTTTATTTTCTATTTTATTTTAATTTTGTTTATGTATGTAAAATAAAACAAGGAAAACATATTCAGCGTTGCCACATCAGTTTGTAAACAAAAGTTGTAAACAAAAGTTGTACGCCCAGCTTTTTCCATCTTCTTTTCTCAAGATACATAACATATATCCAGCTTTAAACATGGAAGAAGCTCGAACAGCAAGCTTATTGATCATGTGAAATATTTTTATTTTCTAAACTTGTAAGACACAAATATTTAGAGGGCCAATGGATCAATTGGCCATGTGTCC